ATATTTAAAACATTAATCTCACAACAATGTTATTATGAAATGCATTAATGCCACCTCTGAGCCTCATTAAATAGTCTGTAAATATTCCTTAATGCCACATTTGTGTTCTTCTGTGCCACCTCCTAGTGCATGAATTGTTGTTATCATATCGAAGTTAGAAATTCAAATATTGTGACAAAATTAATTTTGTAGGGTGCCACAAGTTTGTTAAAATTTCCAAAGTGTGCCGCGACTAAAAAAAGGTTGGGAAACACTGCTCTAAACAATGTAAACACATGAAAAATACTAAATTCACAAAGTTTTTTTTTCTTGTTCTCATGAGGATATTTCTATATTCAACACTTTATATTTAAAACATTAATCTCACAACAATGTTATTATGAAATGCATTAATGCCACCTCTGAGCCTCATTAAATAGTCTGTAAATATTCCTTAATGCCACATTTGTGTTCTTCTGTGCCACCTCCTAGTGCAAAGATGAATTGTTGATGCTGATTTCATTTGACTGGTAACTTGTTTTTTCCTGATTGTATCTTATTATTTTAATTGAATTCACTGTTTAATTAAAATTTTTGATAAAAGTTGATAAATCTATTTTTTTTGGCACAAAAGATGACATACATTAAATAAAGTTAGAAAAATGGCATAACAAAGTTTTAAAAAAGCCCTGCAAATCACTTTAAGGAGTCAAATATCGCCTCATATGGGAAGGTTCATTTCTGTCATTGATCAGAAAGTGTTCCTAAATTTAAGTAAAAGCAGATGTGCTCCTAAAAATAAATGTAAGCGTAGAGTCCTGAAGAATGTAATGTTGCCTTTTAAAAACTAATTGTTAAATAATGCTTAAATATAATCTACAAATGATGCAATACTGTATGTACCACTAAATAAAAAGTGTTTTGAGGGCTTAGCTAATCAGACCAATTAGAGACAATTATTAATCATTTTCATTTTTTATGAAATCATTCTTTCATTTCACGAATCAATCTTTTTTTTTGTAATTAAACACAAAGGGTCATCAATGATGCTTACATTATAACGTGCAAATTCACACACAACATATCTTTAATTTGGCAGGAATTGCAGGGTGCCTGTCTTTAGAGAAAATATGAAATAAGTTTTTAATGTTATTTTAGATTATAAAGGGTTTTATAATTAAATGCATCTGAAAGGTCATCTAAAATTACCATTATTACCCCCCCCTCCCCTTTTCAAGCTAGAGTCCCCCAGTGAATTTTGGCCATTTCCACCACTGCTTACAACCAAAAACACACTTCTGTAGAGACATTCTTCCCGAGCGAGTCTTGTGCAGCACTGCTGAAACCCGGAAGTGTATATGTGTCACAGAAATACTCTGTTATATGTCCAAATCGTCTTTTGAAACTTTGGCCATGTTTAGCATGAGAATCCAACTCTTTAACAGTGTAAATAACTCAACATGCATGAAACAGCATTGGACCCCCCTTTTAATGAGGATTCATTTAAGTATCAACTTGACCTCGGACGTTCCACCTAAAGATTTTGTAGAATAATTACAATTAGATACAAATCAAGAAACACATTTTCAAAAACATCTGAGTAACAGGAGATTCTACCAAAGAGTTCTGCATTTAGTCTTAATGCTGAATGAGAGAAACAACTGAGATATTAAAAAGATATTGCAGGCTGAGAAAGCTCTGTAAAGCATTATGTCACATAAATGGAACCCAATGGAAAAAGAGAGAGAGAAAGAAGCTAGAACAAACAGCTGCTCTGACAAATGGCACTCAGGACACCAAACTCATGATAGACACACACCACAGAGATGCATTTGTGAAAACACTCAGTTCTATTTAACATCTTTTGTAATAAAAAGTGTAAATTAAATGATCATGAAGTGCACTTTAAAGTGATTGTTTAAATAATATATGAGTATGTACTTTGTTAAATATGGTAATTCAAAGGATTCAATTTAATCTCTCTCTGTTATAGTTCAGTTTATCAGAAGAGATCAGAAGCAGAGTCCAGCTGTGTGTCTATGAGGAGTGATGCGTCTATGGATCATCCAGTAAAGTTTAAGAGTGGAGATACAAAGACTGATCTCAGGTAAGTTTTTATATAAATATTATTATAGCATGTCATTTTTTATTATCAAAATACTGTCTATAGTATTTGCTATAATATATGAGAAATTCTAATACATTGCTAATGGATATATATTTTTATCTGTTATATTTTAACATATATAATGATACACAGAGAGACACATTTGTGAAAGCACTCAGTTCTATTTAATACATTAATATTAATAAAATAGTCTAAAATAAATTATCCTAAAGTGCTTTTTAAAGTGATTGTTTAAATAATATATAATGACGTACTTTGTTAAATATGGTAATTCAAAGGATTCACTTTAATCTCTCTCTGTTATAGTTCAGTTTATCAGAAGAGATCAGAAGCAGAGTCCAGCTGTGTGTCTATGAGGAGTGACGCGTCTATGAATCAGCCATTAGATTATAAGAGTGAAGATACAAAGACTGATCTCAGGTCTAATATTTCTGTAAAAGATTATTTGATTATGATACAGAATACATTAGCTTAGCTGATTTAATAATGCAGTATTTTAATTTTCCAGGCATGAAGTCCTCAACAGGTTTAGATCTAATCTGATGAAGAAGTTTGAGCGTCTGTATGAGGGCCTCTCCTGTACAAACAACAACAGAAATGTGTTTGACCAGAGTTTGTGGTCTAAAGTGAAAGATTGGTTTCAACTCAATTCATCAGAACATGTTTCATTATCTGAGCTGCATCAGAGAGCTGTGGATGAGGCTCTACAGAGTAAAAATGGACATCTGGATCTTTTCTTGCGGTTCCTTCTGGGTTTGTCAGTGGAGTCTCTTCAGATTCTCCTACAACAAATAATGACGCTGAAAAGAAGCAGCTCTGACAGCAATGAGGAAACAGTTGAGTACATCAAGAAGAAGATCAGGACCATTGACTCTCCAGAGAAATCCATCAATCTGTTCCACTGTCTGAATGAACTGGGTGATCGTTCACTAGTGGAGGAAATACAACAGTATCCCTGATCCTTCAGACCAACATCAAACGTGAGAAGGACTATGAGAAGAAGGTGACAGATGAAGACATGATCCTCAAACTGGGGAAAGTGGCTTTTCAGCAGCTTGTGAAAGGCAACCTGATCTTCTATGAGGAAGACCTGAGAGAGTGTGGCATTGATGTGACAGAAGCATCAGTGTACTCAGGATTGTGCACTCAGATCTTCAGAGAGGAGTTTGGCTTGTATCAGGGGAAAGTCTTCTGCTTTGTTCATCTGAGCATTCAGGAACATCTAGCAGCTCTATATGTGCACCTCTCCTGTACAAACCACAACATAAATTTGTTTGAACAAATCACCAAACAGAGTTTATGGTCTAAAGTGAAGGACCGGTTTCAACTCAATTCATCAGAACATGTTTCATTATCTGAGCTGCATCAGAGAGCTGTGGATGAGGCTCTACAGAGTAAAAATGGACATCTGGATCTTTTCCTGCGGTTCCTTCTGGGTTTGTCAGTGGAGTCTCATCAGATTCTTCTACGACAAATAATGACGCTGAAAAGAAGCAGCTCTGACAGCAATAAGAAAACAGTTGAGTACATCAAGAAGAATATCAGGACCATTGACTCTCCAGAGAAATCCATCAATCTGTTCCACTGTCTGAATGAACTGGGTGATCATTCACTAGTGGAGGAAATACAACACTATCTGACATCTGGAACAATAAAGGAAGTCAAACTTTCTTCATCTCAGTGGTCAGCTGTAGTTTTTGTGTTGTTGACATCAGAAGAGGAACTGAATGAGTTTCGTCTTGATAAATTTGTTAAAGGAATGAATAAACATGAAAATATGGAAGTTCTTCAGAAGCTGCTGCCTGTGATTAAAGAATCCAGATCAGTTCAGTAAGTATCACATCATAAAGATTTAACCTGAATGTTCAGATACTAATGTGTGATTTAATGATTTCCGTTCAGTTTATAAGCTGCCAAACATGACACGATGTGTTTGATCACAAGAGTTAATAAATGAGATGTAATGGGGAACACGTGGCTCCTGTGAAGCAAATGTCCTCCTGTAGGTGTTTATTAGAGGAGCAAGTGACTGTTTCTCCACACAGATCCGTCCTTATCAAAGACTATAGAATACCCAAGACGTGTCACTCGTATAGTTTTCAATGGGGAAAAATGCAACGCTCAATATGGCCGTGCTATCGAACGAAGCCCCGCCTTCTGAGTAAAAGAGCCAATCCCTAATCAGTAAAGTCTGCAGCTGCGGTCAGAAGTCCTGGTTGCTATAGAAATAGTCAGCGTTGAGACGTGAGCTCAGGACTGTGCGCTGAAATAAATGAACTTTTCCACGACATTCTAATTTATTGAGATGCACCTGTAATACAGTTGCTGTCAGATTTCAGTGATGATTTCAGATATGAAATTTAATCTCAAGCTTGGTCACCAGTTTTGGAGAATTTGATGTTTCCCCATTTAAAGAGATAGGAGCTACACTTGCACGCCCGAGAGAAGTTTCAAAGATGGCCACCGAGTGACATGACTTGCCTTAAAGGGACTTTGTCCTTATATCACTATGAAACAATATCTCACATTCAGCTCTGTGTGTCTGTTCAGTCCTGAAGCACATGACAGTTTCAAACAGCACCATTGAGCATCAACATGCATAAATCTCATTCTATCAGCAGCAGTTTGTGGCAATGCTTGTCATTATATCTCCTCTCCTGCTCTGAGACCAGAGTCAATAACAAACTACAGACACTTCAACTACAATTCTCATTCTGTCATTGTTCTCTACAGGTTGTATGATTGTGGCGTCAAAGATGAAGGTTGTGCTGCTCTGGCTTCAGCTCTGAGATCAAACCCCTCACACCTGAGAGAACTGAATCTGTCTCTGAATAAACTAGGAGATTTGGGTGTGAAGCGTCTCTGTGCTGGATTGGAGGATCCTGACTGTAAACTGGAGAAACTGTGGTAAGATTATATATGACACACTGTAAAATATTTGTGAAGTGAAAAACAAATCACCCCAAAAAGCCAGAAAACACAATGTCAGACAAAATGTAAATATTAGGTATTGTTTGTGAATGGAATACTTACTGATTGGATGAGACAACTGTTAATCAAGATACAGAGATACAGAAAGTAAAACATTGTGTGGCTTTGTTTCTTGTACATGTGTGGACTTCTGTGTTCATGTTAAACCTGTCTTTGCATTAGCAAAACCTTTAAATGGATTGTCTGTTTACACTAAGTGATAATAGCCCATCTTGTAAGCAAAGACTTGACTGTTAGCAGACAAAATTACTAAAGAAACCAGTCAGATAAGTGGGAGAGTAAGGACAGTGGGCTTTTGAGACGACCAACCCGAGTACAAATCTGCATTTCTTCTCATTTATTCCATTGTATATTAGCTCAGAGAGGTGTTTATATTAAAGAAAAATTAAGAAAATATTCAAAACATGGAAATAAAGTCTCTACATTAGGTGTAACGATCTCTGGAAGGAAGGACCCAAAAGCAGAAGAATGCTCAACTTCAATTTATTGAAGCACAATAATAAACACAGTAAGCTACGAGCCAAATGATTCCAGACCAGTTCTGGACCAGGAGGAGACAGGAGTGTGGTCAGGCAGGCAAAAAGGTCAGGCAAGGTGCAGACAGATCAATACAGACAATCCAAAGCTCATAGTTCAAACAGGGAGAACAGCTGGGCAATCCAAAAAGGCGAGCAGAACCCCCGGGTGTCACAACTGGATAAAGAGGCACACAATGAATGATAGATTCGGAGCTTCTTTATTGCTACAAACTGAAGGTATATTCAAAACGGTAAGTTCAAACATAAACAGTCACTGAAGCTCATAAAACTGAGCAATATCAGTCCTTATCTTAATGCTTTCGGGGAAAGTCCACAGGAGAGTGAGAGACACGGAAACATGGGAATCCAGACAGGTAAGCGGAGAGAGCAGAGAAGGGGTGCAACCTTGAGACCAGTCGATGAGGGAATGCGGTGAGCGGTGAGAGGCTTAGTAAAGGATTGTGGCGTCACAGATGAAGGTTGTGCTGCTCTGGCTTCAGCTCTGAGATCAAACCCCTCACACCTGAGAGAACTGAATCTGTCTCTGAATAAACTAGGAGATTTGGGTGTGAAGCGTCTCTGTGCTGGATTGGAGGATCCTGACTGTAAACTGGAGAAACTGTGGTAAGATTATATATGACACACTGTAAAATATTTGTGAAGTGAAAAACAAATCACCCAAAAAAGTCTGAAAACACAATAAGTCAGACAAAATGTAAAACTTAGGTATTGTTTGTGAATGGAATACTTACTACTGATTGGATGAGACAACTGTTAATCAAGATACAGAGATACAGAAAGTAAAACATTGTGTGGCTTTGTTTCTTGTACATGTGTGGACTTCTGTTCATGTTAAAGCTGTTTTTGCATTAGAAACACCTTTAAATGGATTTGGTAGAAGACTAGTTAGGTATGCAGGAGCTAACCCATTAAGGGCCTTATAGGCGAGTAATAATATTTTGTAACTGATACGGAACTTAATAGGTAGCCAGTGCAGAGACTGTAAAATTGGGGTAATATGATCATATTTTCTTGACCTGGTAAGGACTCTAGCCGCTGCATTTTGGACCATTTTGGAATGTATAATTTGCACGTGCTTTTGAGTCTTACCATTTAAAACTGTGAGACCGCTTTCTGTGAGTTCAGACCCACAGTGCTTGCACATAGAGCCGCATCTGTGAGCGCGCGACTAAGTTGTGTTGTGCCTTATTGCGCGTAAACGGCCAAATATATACAAAATTATAAGTATTTTAAAATTAAATTATAAATCTTGATAAGTATTCAGTAAGTATTCAGTAATAAGTATAAACATTGTCGGCTATTAAGTGTATGTAATCAGTTGAGAAACAAAACTTATGTGTAACAGATCCGTGCATGAGGTCTTAAAGAGACAGCCACCTAAATAAACCTGCTGCTGTCTGTCACTAATGTTTATTTATACATTAAAGACTAACCAGTGTTATTTTAAAGTGAAATAGATGATTCAGTTTCTGTGTTATTTCTGTACCTGAATATTACAGTTATACTGTAAAAATGAATGGCTACTGGTAGCTCTTCTTCCTGGTTGTTAATTTGCCGGTTGAAACAAACCCACTACGGAGCGTCCGTTTAGACACTTTACCACAGATGATCAGGTATGCGGGAATAACCCATTTATTGTCACCACAATAAATGTCCCCCCAACGTTAATTTTATTTAATTATATTTTCTCTATAGCGCCAGATCACAACAGACGTCATTTAAAGTTACCTTTCCTATAGAACAGGTACTGTATATACCTTGTTCTTTTATTAAGCAAACTAAATAGCCTTATGTTATTTATCTTATTTACACGACGGCATGTCATTTCGGTCTCTACGTTATGGTCACGTCCTCTGTATCACGCACAGCGGAGTTCCGCCCGATGCACACACACACACATACACAAGTGAGCCCACTCCCACTAGTATTTGTAAATATTAAGCCGCAAAACGATTCATATTTAAATATGAATTCTGCGTGTCTCTGTGTTAATGAATGGTGCAGACGTGTGGTTTTGTGTAGTACTCCTACTGAAACGCTCGTGACGCTTCCGGTGATATTAACGTCTCACTAATGAGGACATAAATACATGAACAACATCTCCAGAACTGCTCTGAGAGTCACTTCATGAGCATTTGACCGTTTCATTTGAGTAAAACTATCCTCATATCATATACACACAGAAAATTTGACCGTTTCATTTGAGTAAAACTATCATCATGTCATACACACACAGAAATGTAAAGGTATTCACGGCAATCCGTCAAAATAAAAGTTCGGTTTAACTTGAAGGCATTGGCAGAAATATATTACTATTGTTGAGTAGAATGTACGTAGCAGGCTGCTACTACTACTACTAAAATTATTAAAACCTTATTTTTAAGGAATAAGCATTCAATATTTCTTCAATGTTTTAATTGTAATATTAAATGTCCTTTACTTACAAAAAATAAAATTAGTTTAATTTTCATTACTTAAAGATAGATTAAATGAATGTTTTAGGCCTCAAAACAAAATGTAAATACACAACACAGAATTTCTGAGCAAAAAAATCATAAGGCTATTGTAAGAATAAATGAAACTTGTTTTTATGCTTTCAAATAATTAGACATGCTAAAACAGAATTTGGTTACAATAAAACATAAGGTTGGAAAAAATAAAACATTTCATAGAGCCCTAAACATATAATATTTGTTAAACTTTTAATAAATTGATGTTAAATTGTTTAAGTTTCATAATTTTAATTAATTAGACATGCTTTTTGATTAATAAAATGTAATTTAACCATTAAAAAGGAGTCAAAAAAAGCCCCCCCCCCCAAAGCCGTAAACCTAGGGGAAACACTGATTTATTCTTATTTTATTACTGATTGTTTACTTGTCTTTTTTGGTTATCAGAATCAGAATCAGAATTAGCTTTATTCGCCAGGTGTGCGCGAACACACGAGGGATTTGTTGTGGTTTTTTTAAGGTGCTCCTGGTACATACATACATGCATACATACATACATACATACATGTACATCTGACATGAGAACAGAAAAAAACATTTAAATAGTAAGACTTAACAATAATAATAATGTGTATGAATCTGGAACAGTAGATTTATGTACAGATTTGTGCATTATTTACTCTATATAGAACTGTATAAATAAAGAGATATGCATATGTATTTGCATAATACTTGAGAAAGAGGCAATAATTAAGGATGTAGAATGAATTATGGAAATTAATTACAGAACACAGGTAATGATTCATCTGTTAGCCGTTTAAGCTGGAGATGGCATTGGGGGAAAAAACTGTTTTTATGCCTAGATGTTCTAGTGCACAGAGATCTGTAGCGTCTGCCTGAAGGGAGAAGTGCAAACAGGTTGTGTCCGGGGTGAGAGGGGTCTTTGATGTTACCTGCCTGTTTCTTCACTCTGGAGTTGTACAAGTCCTGAAGACTGGGCAGGTGCACACCAATGATTCTTTCTGCTGTCCTAACAGTCCGTTGCAGTCTTCTTAAATCTGATTTGCTGGCTGACCCAAACCAGACAGTTATAGAAGAGCACAGAACTGACTCCATAATAGCTGAGTAACTGTGTCATCTGTGCCTGTGGCAGGTTGAACTTTTTCAGCTGATGAAGGAAGTACAACCTCTGCTGGGCCTTTTTCACAGTGGAGTCAATGTGAATGTCCCACTTCAGGTCCTGAGAGAGGGTTGTGCCCAGGAACCTGAATGACTCCACTGCAGCCACAGTGCTGTCCATGATGGTGAGTGGGGGGAGTGCAGGGGGGTTCCTCCTGAAGTCCACGATCATCTCCACAGTTTTGAGCGTGTTCAGCTCCAGGTTGTTGTGACTGCACCAGACAGCCAGCTGCTCGACCTCCTGTCTATAAGCAGACTCGTCTCCGTCCTGGATGAGACCGATGACTTTAGTGTCGTCTGCAAACTTCAGGAGTTTGACAGAGAGGTCAGTAGAGGTGCAGTCATTTGTGTAGAGGGAGAAGAGCAGTGGGGAGAGGAAGCAGCCCTGAGGAGCTCCGGTGCTGATGGTGCGAGTATTGGATGTGAGTTTTCCCAGCCTCACTAGCTGCTGTCTGTCTTTCAGGAAGCTGGTGATCCACTGACAAATGGAGGTGGGTACAGAGAGCTGTGTGAGTTTATTCTGAAGGGTGTCTGGGATGATGGTGTGAGTACAGGCTGAGAAACAGTAGGGGGGAGGGAGGGGGAGGGTGTCGATGGCTGCGCTGTGAGACAGTCGGAGTGGGTGTGGGGTGTCAGACCAGTCTTTTCAAACCTGCAGTAAAACTCGTTCAGGTCTTCAGCCAGTTGTTGATTGGCCTCAGTTCTGGGGGCGATGGGATCTTGTAGCTGGTCATGGCTTTCAGGCCTTTCCACACTGATGTAGAGTCATTACTTGAAAGCTGTTTTTTT